CTCCCTGTCACCGCAGCCTCGACCTGCCAGGCTCCGGCGATCCTGCCGCCTCAGCCTTCCCAGCAGCCGGAATTACAGGCGTGCGCTACCACGCCCGGCTGATTTTTTGATTTATTGCAGAGATGAGGTCTCGCCAAGTTGCCCAGGCGGGTCTCGAACCCGCGGGCTCAGGCAATCCACTCACCTCAGCCTCCCAAAGGCGTGGGATTACAGGCGCCTTTGAGCCACTGAGCCCAGCGGAAATGTTTTTCCAAACCAATATGACATGTCTGGATTCACTACAAAAATGTTCCCATTCAAAGCAAAATAATTTGGTTCAAGCCAACCCAAGGGACAAAAGTAACTTGTTGCGGGAGACAAGTCAGTTCCCTCCTGATTATTGAGCCCATAATTGAACCTGATCCCCTGGGGAAATGACAGAAAACAGACATACCTAGAGGGCTTAAATGCAACACGTGTGGCAGGCAGGGCCAGAATGTTGATTGACAGAGCAGGAGAAGAAACGGAAGGGAGTTTCGCAGGCTGCGCTAATCAACAGGTTGCAAAGAAGAACAAGTCCTGGCCTTTGCAGCCACAAGATGCAGCTAGAGACCGTCATCCTCAGCGAACTGTCGCAGAAACGAAGAACTGATGCTGTGTGTGCTGCGTGTGATCACTCATAAGCAGGCCCTGGCAGCTGGTCACAGGAGCGCAGGGGTGGGATCGGCCGTGGCTAGGCACTGGGAGGTGAGGGGGAAGGGGCGAGGGAGGGAGGACGCAGAGGGGGATGTGGCCACACCCTAGTCCCCTACCTGGGAGAGGAGCCAGCTAAGCCCGAACCTCACCTGTCCGCGGCCTACTTACGTAGGAAACCCCGCTTGTACCCGCTGCTCCAAAATCAAACAAAAAACAGGTCATGGGTCAGCAAATAAAACGTCATGCATCCCAAGCTAGAAGCCGGGGAGGCACCCACAGGCACAGGCCCAGCCTTGGTGGATGCTCCATTATGGGTCGAAATCTGAGGCGGGGAGAGGAGGTTCTGTTCTGGTGTAACCACACTCCAAGTTGCAGCTGCAGTAACCCGTTCAAAACCCACAGGAGAATATGGCTCTTTTTGTTTTGTCCTCACCCAGCTGCCACTGTCCTGGGGATCACGACATCACCAGAAGTCCGGCATCTTCACTCACCCAGCACCTCCCCAAGGGGCCAGGTGCTCGCCCCCCACTTCTTGTCTTTGGGGAGCACAAGACGCCGCTACGAGTGCAGGGCGTGGAACGTGCAGCTCCAGGACAGGTAACAGTCGTGTCCCCATTTTAATTGAGATGTTTATCAGCTGTCATTTAATCTCCTGCGGTACTGAGGCAGCGAGACAGCTTATTCCTTCAGAAGAAGAGTCAACTCTGTTTTTTGGAGTCTGACTCTATCACCCAGGCTGGAGTGCAGTGGCATGCTCACAGCCACCGCAGCCTTGACCTGCTGGGCTCAGGTGATCCTTCCACCTCAGCCTTCCAAGCAGCTGGAACTACAGGAGGATGCCACCATGTCTGGCTAATTTTTTGATTTATTGTAGAGACGAGGTCTCACCAAGTTGCTCAGACTGGCGGCTCAGGCAATCCTCTCACCTCAGCCTCCCAAAGTGCTGGGATTATAGGTGTGAGTCACTGCGCCCGGCCGAGTCAACTCTTACTCAGAGAGTCACTATCAACCTACCAAGACGTTTCATGAACTTACAACAGGACTAAAATAAACATGCCCGGTGGAGGCTGGGCATATTTAGTGAAAACAAGACTTTCAGACATCCAGTGAGAGTCCGTGGAAATACAAATTCTCTTTTTGGGGATGGGGTTGAGGCCTCACTCTGTCACCCATGCTGGAGGGCAGTGGCACAATCACAGCTCACTGCAGCCTCGACCACCTGGGCGTAGGTGATCCTTCCACCTCAGCCTCCCAAGTAGCCAGGACTACAGGCATGCACCAGCACACCCGGCTGATTTTTTTTATTGTAGAGACAAGATTTTGCTACGTTTCCCAGGCTGGTCTTAAACCCTGGGCTCAAGCAATCCTCTTAGCTTGGCTGCCCAAAGAGCTGGGCTCACAGGCGTGAGCCACCAGGCTGGCCTGAGTTCTTTTTTTTTGAGTTGGAGTCTCACTCTGTTGCCCAGACTGGAGTGCGGTGGCCGGGAGCCGCCTCAGCCTCGACCCGCTGGGCTCCGGCGATCCTTCCGCCTCAGCCTTCCGAGTAGCTGGAACTACAGGCACGTGCTACCCCGCCCGGCTGGTTTTTTGATTTCTGGTAGAGATGAGGTCTCGCCAAGTTGCCCAGGCGGGTCTTGAACCCGCGGGCTCGGGCCATCCGCTCACCTCGGCCTTCCAAAGCGCTGGGATTACAGGCTGAGCCACCGAGCCAGGCCAGAAAATTTTTTTTTAAAATTAGCTGGGTGTGGTGACGTGTGTGTAGTTGCAGCCACTGGGAGGCTGAGGCGGGAGGATGGCTTCAGTCCAGGAATGGGAGGCTGCAGTGAACTATGATGGCGCCCCTGCCCTCCAGCCTGGGTGGCAGAATGAAGCCCTGTCTCAAAAGAGAGAGACAGAGAAGCCTGGCCCAGCAGAGTGACGGAGGGACCGCGCTCAGTGATCTAGAAAGCAGCTCCTGGGCAGAGACGCACAGGCCAGAGTGCCGTGGAGAAAGGCCTCACCGAGAAGGGTCTACTGCTGCTCCTGGCC